GGTGGGCAGAGCCTTGGGGGCGGGGACTGGGGCACATCCGGGGCGGGGCTCCGCGGGGAGGGGGCCAGGGCGGGGGTAGTGGGGCGGGAGGGCGCCCCGCGGGCACCTCGCTGTGGCTGAGCGTCTCCCCTGCTCTCTGGGTCCCGGGAGTTCCCTTGCTGTGTGACCCTCAACAAGTGTGCGCACCTCTCTGAGCCTCGGCAGCCTGTAGCAAAATGGAGGAGCTCGTACCGGCTGTGAGACAAAATAGGAGCGGCAAAGGGTAGCGCTTAAGAGCAAGGACTGGAGTCCTCACTCCGCCACCGGATAACTTCGGAAAACTAGCTGTACTGATAGAACCACCTCATAGGTTTGTTATGAAGATTAAGTGAGTTAATATTTGTAAAGTGTTTAGAACAGCTTCTGTTACGTGGTAAGTGGTATTTAAGTATTTGTTAGACTACGGGAGGTCTCGCTCGGCGATTTTCTCCCTTCCCCTCTCCATCCCCACATTCCTGTTTGTAAGCCAAGCCTTGCTTTAGCACAGGCTGGGCCCTCTGCCTGGAAATCTATGCCCACCTCTTCTTTGCACTTTAATATCACCCCCTTTGTGAAGCCTTTCTCCACTCCTGACAGTACATGTGACTCTATGGTGACAGGTAAGTGTGAAAAATATGAATGGTAGGAACATAGGAGAACTTGGGTTTGAACCAGCTCCACTGTAGACCAGTCCTCGAGTGATCCTAGGCAAGGTGCTGGCCTATGAGGCTCAGCTTTCTTCTGGGTTAAACGGAATGAACGTGACCACCAACTTCATGTGCTATCATGAGAGATACAATGTCCAGATAAACTCATGAAATACTTAGCACAGGCTTAACTCGCAGTAAGTCCCCCTTTAGTGGTAGTGGTATTATTTCACCTTGTTTCATCTGATTTCACCTCGTTTCTTCTTCTAGACCCGTGTCTTACTTGAGACACAGTGAAAGGAAAGACCCCCCAGTCCAAAGGTCTGGACAAAATCCTGAGGTTAGTTTGAGGGTCCCTTTCCCAATGGAGGGGCCCAGGGAGGGGCTACTTTCTGTTGGGAAGGAGGAGCCTGAGCTGACCCCATGACCCCTGGAGTCCTCTGTCTGGGCTGTGGGTCCAGTGCTGGCCTTGGGAGGGGGCACCCTGGCTGACCAAGAAGCCCTGGAAGGGACGGCCTGCCCCTTCTGGGCACACCCCTGCCCCTGGCTCCTATTTCTGTGGTCTCCCAGCTGCTCAGCCTGGAAAGCTTAGGGCCACCTCTCTCCTCATCTGGTGCCAGGGGCCCCTGAGTCCTGTTGATTTCACCTTCTGTACCACCTCATCCTCCTTCCCTTCCTTCTGTCTGCAGGGCCTCCAGTGCCTCTGGCCTCATGTCCTCTAGTGCTGACCCTCACTTTCCTGTTCGTATGTCCCACGTTGCCGTGGAGGCAGCAAGGTCCAGCCTGGCTAGCAAGGCCCTCAGGGCAGCAGTTTACAGGCTCAGCCTCACCCCTCACACCAGCACTTTCCACATCTGTACCTTTGCTCAGATTGTTTCTTCTGCCTGACTCCCTCCACCTGCACCTCACCAAGCCAAAATGCTTCTGACGGCACAAAGCACCCCTAGAATGGGGCCCTTCCGGGAAGTGTCCCTGAGTCCTCCAAGAGGTTGTTCTCCCCTTTACCCTTTGATGCTTCTTAGTGTGCTGCTGTCCTTTCTGTCTCCCTCCAGACTGAGCATCTTGAGGATGGCTTCTGTAGCTGAGACACAGGGATGAAGGAGTGAAGGAAGAAGGCAGGAATGAATGAACCTATGAGCAGCTAGTCTGCCTGTTTCCTGCCAACACCAGTGTTCACTTAAGTACCTTTTGGGTTTTGCCACGTCCCTGCTCAAAATCTCTCCGTCGTTCCCTGTTTCCGAGCACATCCAGTCTACTGTGTATGTCTCCTCCCAGCTGTGGGTACACCCCACCCAGCCCATGGGGCACACTCACCATCAGGCTCCCTTTCCTTCTCCAGGCCAGCCCTGTGCTGGCCACTTCCCCAGGGACAGAGGCAGGCAAGCCTGTTGCTAGCCTTATGGAGCCCCCAAACTGGAGAGGATGAAGCGGTGAGATGCACAGCAACGGTACCAAGTTGGGTGTGCATGGTTAAGAATATGTATGGGAGGGGCTTCCCTGGTGGCACAGTGGTTGAGAGTCCGCCTGCCGATGCAGGGGACGCAGGTTCGTGCCCCGGTCCGGGAAGATCCCACATGCTGCGGAGCGGCTGGGCCCGTGAGCCATGGCCGCTGAGCCTGCGCGTCCGGAGCCTGTGCTCCGCAACGGGAGAGGCAGGCCACAACAGTGAGAGGCCCGCGTACCGCAAAAAAAAAAAAAAGTGTATGGGAGAGAACTTGTACCACAGAGGAAGGAGAGGGAGTGGAGAGAGCTTCAGGAAAGGGAGAGGGCAGGCTGAGTAGGGTTTAGAAGGCTGAATATGAGTTCACCAGGTGGGTCAGAGGGAAGGCCATCCTTGGCAAGGGGAAGAACATGTGCGAAGACAGTAGACAGGCAGAGAGTGACTGCTGAAGGGGAGAAAGAATCTCTAGACCACACTCAGAGACTGATGGTGGAGCCCTGGATTTGGACTCCTCTGTCCCAGCTCTGCTATTTACTTGTTAAACATCACCAAGCAAATCCTTTCTCTTTTCTGAGCCTCAAGACTCACATCTGTAAAATGGGTGTAACAATCCCCTCCTGACTTGGCCAGAGGAAAAACGGATTGTGTGTAAAAGTTATCCAAATAAACAGTACTAATTCATGATGTCAGAAGTCCAATCAAACCCCCTTCCTATGGTCAGGGTGGGACTTGAAGACAGAGCAGAGTGGCTAGAAAAACAGCTTTACCTTCGCCCTACCCCATCATACCTGCCCCAACAGACTCCCATTATCTGCTTGAAATTGCATTTCTAGATGTTCTTTGTGTAAAAGCTTTATGATCCCTGGAGGGTACAGAATAGAGGTAAATTCATCAAAAGCTATTGACACTGATCAGATATTAGATTCACAGGTGGGCTAGTTTAGTTTTTGGATGGCTGAGTCCTGGGCAACCGGATTTAACTGCAGCCAGAGAGGAAGCACCAGAGACAGCCTAAGGAAGTGAGCCTGGAAGTTTGGGATGCCTGGGAAGAGAGAGCAAATGCCCAGAGCTGGCTCATGGAAGTGCAGCTTAAGCCAGAGAGCCAGGCTAAGTAGCCCCTGCGGCGGGAGGGCAGGGGATTGGGAGCAAGAAGAGATGAAGTTAGGGGGAATTTGATGGGAGAAGAAGCTGAGGAGGGGTCAAATGCCAGGTATAGGAGCTAGGGCTTTATTCAGTGGGCAGTGGGGAGCCATGGAGGGTTTTTGAGCAGGGAAGGACCTGAGGAAGTCTCAGCCTCCTCTCAAGCCTTCCCTATCCTGAGGCTTTAAAGGGGAGTGTGAGGAGGCTGGGGTGGAGCCCTTGGGCTCCGCTTGGAAGGACCAAGTGCCCACCTCCCCAAGCTGCTCTCACACTGGCAGCTTTGTTCCCTGGAGGCTGCTTTAGCCCAGGAAGGAACTCGGACTTTTGGATTCCAAGCAGCTCTAGCCCTAGCCAGTCGGAGGAAAAGAGCTCCCTGGGACTGGCGGGGCGGTGCCAGGTGGCCAGGCGGATGCCGGCGGCCTGGTGCGTGCCTGTGCGCACGCTCGCATGCTCCGGGTCCCCAGCCGCGCTGGGCTCGCTGTGCGCGCTGGGGGCGGGGCGGAGTGAGGGGGTAGGGGTTGGTAGCAGCAGCTCCCGAGTCTGGAAAGGCGTTTTTTTTTGTTTTTTTTTTTTTTGCCTTTAAAGGCAAGCGTCTCTGGAGGCCCGCAGAAAAGGCTTTGCTGAGTCAGCTGCCGCTGATGCAAGTGGAGCTGGCAGGGACTGGGACTGGAGAGCCCCTGATCCGCAGGATATTCTGCAACCCCGATACTCACAGGCTGCAGGTACACACTGTGTTGGACTCCTGGAAGTCCTGATGGGCCAGGGAGGACAGTTTTGTATGTTTAATATTTTCATTCTGATTTGCGCACCAGTTCATACCACCTGCAATCAGAGAACTTTTCAGCTTCCCTCCTTTATCCTTTCACAAGCCCCTCCCCGGCCCTCTGCACACGCTCTCATCAGGGCCACCACCTGCTCGCCCGATGCTGGGGGATATTGAGGGAACACTTCCTTCCCCCATTCTCTCCCGCACCAGGCTTGTCTGTCCAGCTACCTCCAGTACAGCCCTCTGAATGCCCCACAGGTACCTTGGCCTTCACCATGTTTAAGTCTAAACTCATTATCCTCTCCCATCCCTCCTGGTCCCCACTGCAGAGACGGTTCCTCTATCCACCAAATAGCCCAAGCCAGAGATCTGGTATCTTCCTTGACTCTTCTCTCTCCCTCATCCCCAATATCCAGCCAATCCTGTGGACTCTGCCCTTCCAAAATAGCACTGGACTCCATCCCCTTCTCTCCGTTCCACTGGTCCTGTGCTAGCTCTGCTCATTCTTCCTCCCACCTGCCACCTCCATGGTCTCTCTCAAACATCCAGCCAGCACATGGTCATTTCCTTGTTTAAGCATCTTTCCCTGGCACACAACAACGTGGCTACAGCTCATAGACACAATGTTGCATGAAAGAAGCCATATGCAAGGGAGTGTGATTTCATGTATGGAAAGTTCAAAAACAGGCAAAACTTATTTATAGGATTAGAAGTCTGGGTATTAGTTATCCTTGGAGGGATGAATGACCCTCAGGAGGTCTGGTAATCAGGGCTGGGACCAAGGTGAGGCAGATGAGGCAGGATCAATATCACTGATATTTCCCTTTTGCCCTGAGCCTTAATGTGACTCAACACAGCATTGTTACTAAT